GTCTGATTCCAGAACCAATGTACAGAGCGTCTGATTCCAGAACCAGTGTAGTGTCTGATTCCAGAACCAGTGTACAGAGCGTCTGATTCCAGAACCAGTGTAGTGTCTGATTCTAGAACTAGTACAGAGCATCTGATTCCAGAACCAGTGTCCAGAGTGCCTGGTTCTAGAACCAGAGGACAGTACATTTGATTGAAGAACCAGCGTACAGAGCATTAGACTGGAGAAGTATGCTGTGTCTCCAATCTTTCTTATTCGTTTGGCTAATAAACGTAGCGTTTCTTATTTATTTGGTTCCACAGTGTTTACTGATCTTCAGTTTTGAATAAGCTACCTAAACTTTGTGTAAGTTATTTGTTATTTTATATTAAGCATAATATGTTCTACGTTGTATTTTGTTGTTGCTTGAATTGAATTGCCGAATTGCTGCTAATTTGAAAGTGAAAGTAAAATGTCATCCAGTTGTAAAAGACAGATGGTTCATTTGAATGGGTTGTTTCACCTCATATTATGTCTGTTGTGATGCTTCCAGAACCAGTGTAGTGTCTGATTCTAGAACTAGTACAGAGCATCTGATTCCAGAACCAGTGTCCAGAGTGCCTGGTTATAGAACCAGAGGACAGTACATTTGATTGAAGAACCAGCGTACAGAGCATTAGACTGGAGAAGTATGCTGTGTCTCCAATCTTTCTTATTCGTTTGGCTAATAAACGTAGCGTTTCTTATTTATTTGGTTCCACAGTGTTTACTGATCTTCAGTTTTGAATAAGCTACCTAAACTTTGTGTAAGTTATTTGTTATTTTATATTAAGCATAATATGTTCTACGTTGTATTTTGTTGTTGCTTGAATTGAATTGCCGAATTGCTGCTAATTTGAAAGTGAAAGTAAAATGTCATCCAGTTGTAAAAGACAGATGGTTCATTTGAATGGGTTGTTTCACCTCATATTATGTCTGTTGTGATGCATTCATAATAAATTCATGCTGCTGTTTATGCTTCATTTGTTGTTTTGCTCATCTGGATTTAATTTCATATATAGTATGCACACGTGCATTTAGTTTAATTGGGTTGGGGTGCCCTGGAAAAGAAAAAAAAACACTACAAAGGTGTGCCATGCTTTCAAAAAGTTTGTGAACCACTGGAACAGAGCATGTGATTCTAGAGCAGGCATGTGGCGTCTCTCACCCCAGGCAGGTGTACTGCTGCACCATGCTCTTATTCTTGACTGTCAGTTTGAGATCTAGAACAGCCGTCGCAACGCTGCCCACAGGAACGATCCGCACACAGATGCGCTTCTTCTTCCCGACAGACGCCTCTGTACAAACACACGCACAGTGATTACACTTCCACAGCGCATCAGGAGAGACAGACAAGCAGATCTGTGGAGGCTCTAAGGCCCACATCTCTCAATGAACCATCTTACTGGGCTCCAGGAACTCTGGGATGTAGCAGTAACCGTGAGGAATCGTCTCTTTATCCGTAATCACCTGCACATCTGCCACAACCATCCCACCAGACAGATCCTACAGACAGGAATGAGTCTGATGAGCACATGAGAGTATATGGAGACATCACATGTGTGGTGAGATGGAAGTTAAAACTACAGTGTGTCAGTGTTTATGTGAGGCATTCGTGCTTTTGTGTTTCACTGAAGAACCCTTTAATGCATCTTACCTTACTGTAACTCAGGTAGTATCCTGACTTGATTGCAAACCCTCGGATGAAGTTAGCGGAGGCTCCATCTTCAGTCTGAGTGATCTAAACACACACACACAGAGTTATTGACATGGTCTGAACTCCAGAGGCAGGTGAGCATGTGGCCGCAGGTGTGTGTGGTTGTATTGTTCACCAGGATGAATTGAGCGGGGCAGCTGGAGGCGTTTGATGCCCAGGCCACTGCAGTGATGGGCCTGCTGAAGGCGCTAGACGACTCGAACACAGACATCTACAGACAGACAGATCACGAGGATCAGCACTGATGACACACTGCTCACTGTCACTGGAACATCAGCACATATAACCGGATTAGACAGACACACACAGACTGATATACACAGTTATACAGAACCAGTCATAGGTAGCACAGGTATATTTACAGCAATAGCCAACAATACATTGTATGGGGCAAAAATCATTAGGATATTAAGTAAAGATCATGTTCCTTGAAGATATTTTGTAAATTTCCTACCATAAATATATAAAAACTTAATGTTTGATTAGTAATATGCATTGCTAAGAACTTCATTTGGACAACTTTAAAGATGATTTTCTCAATATTTAGATTTTTTTGCACCCTCAGATTCCAGATTTTTCTCAGCCAAATATTGTCCTATCCTAACAAACCACACATCAATGGAAAGATTATTTATTCCGCTTTCAGATGATGCATACATCTCAATTTCGAGAAAAATGACACTTATGGCTGGTTTTGTGCTCCAGGGTCGCATCAGATAGATAGATAGATGGATAGTTCTATCTCTCAGTTAATCACACTGTTAATAGTCATTAAATGATGTGTTTATCAGCTGTTATCATCTCGACGCAGCACTGTTACTAGTTTCAAACACACGCTGTAATCAGCATTAACATCAGCATTTACACTTCAGCTGATTATAAACGGCTTTAATGAACGCGTGAGGCTGAATTCAGTACTTACAGGCTGTTGTTATGAAGTTTTTTCTCGTTTCCAAACACGAAACTGACCTGAACTCACTGCCGTAGTTACAGAACAGGAAGCAGCGGTAGACTACAACTCCCATGATGCACCGCGGCGACGCCAACGGACCGCGCATGCTCAGTGCGATTTACTGTTCAAAACCAGGAGCCGGTAGCATAAAAGGTTTAGACTAGTCTTATAAGTTAGTCATCTAATTTTTTTTATTTAAGAGTGGTCATCATTTTTAAAATTCAGTGACATAGAAACGTTTGGACTAAGTTGAATCCGACTGTCTTACCATAGAGCCTAAGTTAATGCAACTGGCCCCAAAGAAGGCAATTCAGGCATTAAAATAAGCTGAAACAAGTACAAATCAAGATGTTTTTTATTTTAATTCAACCGCAACGCAACTTTTTTTCTTTTAAGATTATAAAAGTGTGATATCTAGACTTGGAGAAGTCTTGTAAATTAATAAAATCCGTTAAATTCAACAAAAACATGTTTTATGAATCATGCCGAGTTCTAAAATAGTTTATCTTAATTGTGATTTTTTTTATATTTCTCTTAAAAAAAGAGAAGTAAATATTGTTGTGGACAACAAATAAGGTTGAAAACTGATCTAAATGAATAATGTGCATAAAAAAGCAGGACTGGACGGAGAGTTTCTCTCATCACTGCCGCCTACAAACACAAGCAATTACAATATAATAATACAAAAATTATAGAAAATACAAAATTAACATCTAATTCAAAATATTACAAAAAACTACAAAAGTACCTCAATCATAACAAAATAACACTGAACAGCAAACAAATGTATAAATGAAAGGTAAAATGAATTATAATTAATATAATAACAAGATGACATTTAATATTTCTTAATCTGCTGGTTTCATATTGCTGTATTTTTGCTTTACATTTTGCCGATTTGTTTTAATAAATATGGCACTTGCCGTAATAATTCCCAAAGTTTCTGTACAAATACTATACACAAAACAGCTGACACATTCATTTATTTATTTTGTGATATTTTATGTACATACAGAAGTGCAGTTCACTACAGTTGCTTGTTTTTCACAAAAGATCTCTCAGAAACTGAAGATGCACATGTGACCCTGGAGCACGAAGCCAGACATAAGGGTCAATTTGATGAAAATACATCATCTGAAAGCTGAATAAATAAGCTTTCCGTTGATGTATAGGACAATATTTGGCTGAGATACAACTATTTGAAAATCTGGAATCTGAGGGTGCAAAAAAATCTAAATATTGAGAAAATCATCTTTAAAGTTGTTCAAATGAAGTTCTTAGCAATGCATATTACTAATCAAACATTAAGTTTTGATATATTAACAGTAGGTCATTTACTAAATATCTTCATGGAACATGATCTTTACTTAATATCCTGATGATTTTTGGCATAAAAGAGAAATGTATAATTTTGATTGTCTGTCGCTACAAATATAACCGTGCTACTCATTTGTGAAATATATGCATATTTCCATATTTTGAGTTGTTTCTTTCTAGCAAATAAGAGGGAAGGGGAGTAGAGGTTGGCATGCGTGGCTCATGCAGGTTCAGGGTGTTTGGGGAACACGTCTCTGGAGTCAGTCGGTGCTGTTTGCGTGGCGTGTCCGGATGAAGTGCAGCAGCGTGATGTCGTACAGCACCTGGTGTCCGTTGTTCCAGGTGTACAGCGCTCTGATGCGCGGGTTGTAGTCCAGCATGGAGATGTGCGAGTACTGGTTGTGGAAGGCGATGTCGGTGTACTCGTACGAGGCCGAGGCCGTGTGGAAGGTGAAGTGCACTTTAGCTCCGGCCAGGTGTGAGTTGGTGACGTAGAGCGAGCCGCAGATGAGGAAGGCCTCGCCGGCGCTGCGCTTGGAGAAGCCCGTGTCCCAGGAGCGCAGCACCTCCAGCGAGTCGGGATGCAGGCGGCTCAGCAGCATGTTCCCGCCGCGGCCGATGCTGGAGTACACGGCCCACAGCCCCGTCTCGTCGGCCATGAGGTCGATGTCGGACGAGCCGCCCCAGGAGTACGGGAAGGTGTTGTTGAACCCGGCCTGAGCGAGCGGACGCTGCTGCAGAACGCCGCCCGACGTCAGATCGTAGCGCACCAGCACGTTACTGTGGTGCTTGTTATAGTACAGAGAGCCGTTATACACCACGTGACCCGTACCTGAGAGACACAAGCACACACGTCACAAAGCACGGAAAATCACTTCTGACAGGTGTAAAGATGAAAAAACATACACGCAACATTTTATCGCAATTCTGATTTTTTTTCTCAGAATTCGGACTTTTTCGTAGTTCTGAGTTTTAAATTTTTTTATTTAAATCTCGCAATTGTTGTAATATTTTTCTTGTAATTCTGAGTTTACATCTCGCAATTCTGACTTTTTTCTTGTAATTCTGAGTTTACATCTCACAATTCTGACTTTTTTCTTGTAATTCTGAGTTTAAATCTCGCAATTCTGACTTTTTTCTTGTAATTCTGAGTTTAAATCTCGCAATTCGGTCTTTTTCTTGTAATTCTGAGTTTAAATCTAGCAATTCTGTCTTTTTCTTGTAATTCTGAGTTTAAATCTAGCAATTCTGTCTTTTTCTTGTAATTCTGAGTTTAAATCTAGCAATTCTGTCTTTTTCTTGTAATTCTGAGTTTAAATCTAGCAATTCTGTCTTTTTCTTGTAATTCTGAGTTTAAATCTCGCAATTCAGTCTTTTTCTTGTAATTCTGAGTTTACATCTCACAATTCTGACTTTTTTCTTGTAATTCTGAGTTTACATCTCACAATTCTGACTTTTTTCTTGTAATTCTGAGTTTACATCTCACAATTCTGACTTTTTTCTTGTAATTCTGAGTTTA